GGGGATGTAAATAGTAATAACAGGACAGCAAGTTGAGGGATACATCTTTGGCTAAAACTTTACCATAATAATAATTCTTGAACGGCTATAACTACATTTTATTTTCTTCTGATGTTACCATGTCACATAAATCAAGTAGCTCATTGATTCTTCCTTGTCCTTTTACCAAATTATTGCCCCAGAATAGATGATTTTAAATATTCTTCAAATTCTTTGTTTAACAAATATGTAATCATATTTGTGATCTACATGACAAAGAATGCATGCAAGTTATAAAGCTATAATTTTGCTTTTATTTTTCAACAACCCTCCAAGAAGTCAAGGCAAATTGAAGAATCTATTTTAAATGTGATGACATTGAGGTGTAACAGGTTAAATAGCTGGCTTGCTTAGATGGTCAGTGACATAGCAGCTAGAGGGAGTCAGGCCTCCTGATCCCTATGTACAAGATTCTCCCTAATACACTGCACAAAATGTTAATTGTCAGACAGACCTCCAAGAGGTAGAGGGTTGGCCAATTCTGTGATGAGACAGCTATGGGGAGCAAAGGATTCTCATTCTCTGAAGTTTATTATGGCATTTCTGGACATCTAGCTCCCTGGTTGCTTCCCTGAATTAGTCTTAAGGTGTAATGGTGATTTCAGGCACGCTAGAATATAGCATCAGAGACCTGGGGAGGTCCAGGTAGTGGACTGGAATAGCTGCAGCTATTAACTATCTAGGTCATCCTTTATACAGGGTTGCAATGTACACTCTAGCTTCTGACTTCAGTGCTGACAGAAAGGGGAAAAAATCCATCCTGGTAAAATGTAGTCAGACAGCAGTTTGTCTTTCCAAAACATTATTATGTATTATTACAGAATGTGAACACCTTTCATTCCTGACAAACAGGAAATGTATGCTGCACTACTGGTATGTCAATCAGAGTGATAGCATCAATTTTATGGTTTTTAATTCATCCCCACCTCCTGCCGAGCCTTTTGCTCATCCCAAATTATGAATCTTAAAAGGTACATGATTAAGATGAAAAAAAAAAAGTATCTGCCTATGTGAACCCTGTGTGAAGAGCATGGAGTCAGATGTTTAAGAGATTTATAAAGCAGGTGTTGACCACTCAGTGAATGGACAAGCAACTTACTTTTCCTGAAGCTGGGAGTGCCCCTGTAGGCTTTCACTGTGGTACTTCGCTAGTAGCTCAAGCAGATCTTTTTTTATATGCATTGCCACCTTTGAATTTGTAAGAAACGGAAAGAAAATAATGTATTTTAAATGCTATATTTGTCAGTCCATGATGCTTCAGAATTACATTTTCATTTTAAGTTTCGAGTGTCTATTTCTTTAGCTGTGATGTTTTGTTGCTTTTTAATATATTAAATAAATACAAAGCTAATCCTGGAGCCTAGCTTTGAATGAATCAAAGCAATGTCTCTCACAATTCTTTTCTTTCCACCCCTTAATTCTTTTCTTCAACACATAATGAAAATAAGGAGCATTGTCAGTTCGGTATAAAGTGGAACTGTTTAAAAATAAATAAATAACGTGTGCTTATGTGGTGTGCGCACACACATACACACACAATCTACTTCACAACAGGGGGTTTGGGAGCCTGGGGTGTCTGAATCTGTCCTCCCATGCTCCTCTCTTGTTTCTGGTGAGGAGCCATTTTTCTTGTTTTCCCTATGCAGCTCCACCTGGACTCCATTTGCTGCCACAAACTCTGCAAATATCACACACTTATTTAAGATTTAGGAACATGATATGATAGTTACTGATTGGAAGGTGAAGCAATAATTAGCATTGGTCAAGGTCAATTTCTTCTCCTGATTATGAATCCTAAGAGAATATTTCATTGTTGACAATTCTCTATTTGCTGATAGCACATGATGACATATTTCATGGATCTTTAATACGAATGCTTACTGTGTGGTGGCCTCCATGTTTAAATCACTCTTGGCCATGTCAGCCTTAACCCTAACATTTTTAATGCTTGAGTGTTCTGGCAAGAGTGCATGGGGCCCTTCAGTCACTCACATGGCATTTTGTTGTACACAATTTTTCATTCTGCTTTTACCACAACTTCTTTATGATTCAGAATTAAAGTATGCTGGTTCTCTTCCATGCAAGACAGCAAATATAAAAAATAAGCAAGAACATATCTTTCTCTGGTGGAGCAGCAGCATAAAATATTGAGTTTTGAGAGTGATGATAACTAGATATGTACAAATGTGGTTAGTGCAGTAAGGCCTGCCTTATAGGGAGGCAGTGCCCTGCAGAAAAACTGCCTTTTCTATTTGAGAAGAGAGAAGAGATCAGGATCCTGTCAGAGAAGTCTCCTATAAGGGCTTGGTCACACTCTTTGTATATGCAGTGTTAGCATTTCCAAAGTGAATTTACACGTTCTATCTCACTTGATTTCTCAGTTAGGTATTCTGCAACTGTGTTTAGGCAAGGGAGCTGAATCTTACAAATGGTAAGCAACTTGCTTAAGGTCATGTAGATGGTAAGCGTTGTGGCTGGATTTTGAATCCATGTTTCCTGACTCCAAATTTAATACTTTTTGTTCTGTCCTATAGTTGTTTACTGTTAGAACCACTTATTTGGTACGTCTTTGTCTTTGAATTCCAATTAAATTATTTTATTATGGATTCCTCAGTAACACTGACATGTTCTATAACAGGGATTTGCACGTGGTACACATGAAATGAGTACTTTTGATTAACTAACGGTTTAACCAGTTTTCTTCTCCCTTCATGTGGTATAGCATTTAATCATAACACAAGTATTTACAGTCATTACAAGGACTTGTTAGATTTTGAGAACATAAGGTAGCTGTTCTGAACTGAAGGTTTGTGTCCACTCAAAATTCATGTGTTGAAGGCCATGAGAGTTCTCAGTGTGGCTATATTTAAAAATGAGACCTCTAAGGATGTAAATTAAGACTAAATGAATCCATAAGGGTGGATTCTGATTTGATAGGATTAGTGTCTTAATAAGAGGAAATATCAAAGAGTGGTATCTACTCCCCACTCCACCACACATACATAGTAAAACAAGCCATATGATGACATACGAAGACATGGAAACAACAAAGACCTTTACAAGCCAGGAAGTGAATCATCTGGAACCTTGAACATAGCTGCCTAGCCTCCAGAACTGTGAGAAAATAAATTTCTGTTGTTGAAGCTATCTAGTCTCTTGTATTTTGTATGGCTCCCTTGGCAGACTAATAAGGTGATTAAAGCCACATCTCATTCAAGCAGCTTGTTTTCCTGTGGACTGATTGGAGAACAGCCCTGGAGATATAGGTGAGTTGAATATATATACTCATGTGCTTTGTCCCTTTGGAATTAAATGTCAAGGTATTCCATCGGTGTCAAAACACCCTCAAAGTCAAAACTGCAAAGTCAATATTGTTCAAAACATGCTATATGTTATAGAATTGCAAATAGCAGTTCCTGAGTCTGCATGGTCCTGAGTTAAAAGTGAGAATGACCTCAGAAAGGACTTCCAAGAAATGAGTCTGTGTCTTTAATGAATAGTAATTTTCAAGAAAAGCAGAAGAAAGTGCATATTCCTCAGAGAGAACAATTGTCTAAGAACAGCTGTGTAGGTGAACATGCTAGAATCCTAGATTCTGGAGACTTAAAATTGGTGTAACTAGAGCTCAGGATGTACATAGAGGAGATGTAGAAGATAAGTCTGAATAGGTAAGAGCCTGTTTTCTAAAAATCACTGTATGTTAAGTTTAGAAGTCAGACTTTGTAACATGGTAGGGAGCTAGGGAAGGGATAGCATTAGGAGAAATACCTAAGGTAGTTGACAGGTTGATGAGTGCAGCAAACCACCATGGCACGTGTGTACCTATGTAACAAACCTGCATGTTCTGCACATGTATCCCAGAACTTAAAGAATAATTAAAGAAGAAGAAAAGAATTGTAATCTGAATAGTTATACAATCAAGTTTGCAGTTCAGAAGGTTACTCTCAATGCACTGTGGGGATTGTACAGGAACCTGGTCTTGGTGCTAGGGCTTGGGATGGAATTTCAGGGAATAATGCTGGATCATGAATTCTCTTTGGGTGGTAACACAACCTTTGTCTTTGACATTACCTTCTTAGCGAAAAAACTCAATTCAAATATTCAGCCACTTCAGAATTCAAGTAACACTTCCTTCTTTTAGCTATGACATTTAAATAGCTCTTATTTCTGGGAAAAAAGTGACTTTTGTTCTTGTGGATGCCACACACATGGATGATACCCATGCTCTGGATCTCATCAAAACCTGAGTGGGCCCAAATGAGTGAGCTGGTGGCCTGGTGAGAAATCCAGCATTCTCTACTTCTTCTTCTTAACACTCTTAAGTTTCAGTTTTATGAGGTGCCACATTTTGCTATGTTTTTAGCTGGACCTGCTTGAAATTTCTTAATCTGATGTTTCAGGGAGCAGTAAAAAGAACAAGTAAACATGTTCCCCAAGCAATTACTAATGCAAGCCCTGAGTCCAACAGGATTCATTAAATACATAAACTTATCCTCTCCTGGTCAAGATACTTTAGATTGGAAGTAGTTGAAACATGGGATGAAGCTCGTGTTTTTGTTGTGTGAATTAGATTTTTTGTGTATCTGTGTGTGCCTCGTGCATTTTAAACTATTGTAAAAATCACTATTCTTAGACTCTTCTAAGAGTAACTCACTTGTGAAAAAGGTGGGCAATTCTGTCTTGTGATTACTATGCCTTCCCCCTAAGTCATCTGCTCATTCTTTCTTCTTCAAACAAATTAAAATATTAGTCCACTGGAGAGGAACTTCACACAGAATGCTTAAAACCGACTTTACCTGTGAGTGCCAACAGCAGTGATGATGTGGTTATCATGACACCTGCAAATGCCTCTCTTCCTGTGTACTTATTATCAATCTGGGAATGTTGTCACCCCAGTCACCCCAGAATGTTTCCTTATGACTACATTCTTACTGGCTGTAACTAACTCTTTTACTCAACAGGGAACAAGGGCCAGATGGCATGCAGACATGTGCTTGAGACTGGGTGAGTCTCATTTGTTCTCTATTTCTTGTTACTTACTGTCACTCCTTAGCTAACCACACATAAGGAACCCACCCTATGGGCTGCTTTTGCTGTGCATATGTAACACATGATTATAGTAATGTGCTTTCTGTTAATGTTGTTGTTACTATGGGTTTCTTTTTGTTGTAGTTGTTTCAGTCTGCCTCTTTTTTTGTAAGGTGAGATACAAATAAATTCAGTCATGGAAACAGGTCAGCCAAATTACTAACATATGCATACAATGAATGTTGTCTCCTTCTAATTAATAACCTTGAACTTATTCCAAAATTGATGTTACAACTGAAAAATAATTTTATTTAGGAAATTCTCTTTGAAAAATGATTTTAGAGCCTTTGCCTATCAATCAAAGCAAATTATCATTTTCTGAGGATGGGTTTGATCTTTTATTAAAAAATTCATTGAACAAATAATTATTAGGTGTATAATCAGTGGCAGGCAGTATACCAGGAGCAAGGAGCAAGACAGACATGGTTTCTGCCTTCAAAGGCATTTAAGATCAAATGTGAGATGAATGTCTGAGCCCTAGATAATATCTTTACTGATAAGAACGAGATGTGACTATACAGTGACAATCTGAACTGCCTCAAATGACAATTTTAAAGAAGAGATTTAAAACATTTTGAGTAATGGCAGCATCTCTGGAATAACTCTCAAACATAGTACTCAGAAGACAAATAGTCATTTTTTAAATGCATACAGTATAGTGCTGTGGAGCTTATAAAACATTTTTATAAACATTATATTACGCTTTTGTCACAAAAAGTCCTGGATTGTCAACCAGGTTTGAGTACTAATTTTCTTCACGGTAGAATGAATGACCTCTAGGAATTTTCAAGGTCTGAAATTCTATGATATTTATGTTCCTAATTCTATGCATTTACACGATATGGTGAATTTGTTATGTTAGAATAGTTCCCTGTGATCTATCTGACTGAGGACCATCCTAGCAGAGATCACTGCCCAATGTCTTCTCCTGGGGGTGACAGGTGCTGGCAGGAGGCCTCAGTTGTGGAAGCTTGACAGGGGATGAACTGGACTCACTTTCAGTAATGGGGTGAGGAGCTAAGGGAAAATGAAGGTAAAGTTTGAGGTTAGCAAGCTCTCTGGGGAGTGAGGGAGGTTCTAAAATATCAAGTTTAAAGGATCAGGCAGAGCAATAATTAGATTCAAAGAAAAATGCCAGCTAGACAGCATAAAGAGGTTGAGGAAACAGAACCTAGAAAGGCTGCTCTGAAGAAACAAGATTTCTTTTTATGAGATGATAGAGGTAAAGCCTAAGAACCAAAAGAATGAAAAACCAAAAGAAGAAAATTATTAAAAAAAAAAAAAAAGGCTTTCCCTGCCTTAATCCCATCAGTGGTTAAACAATGAAAATAAAGAGAAAATGCAGCCCTACTCTAAAACTTCACCTCCTCCGCTTTCCCAACCAACAGCCTACTCTTTGAGAAAACAGAGTGTCCATCAAATAGAGAAACGTCCTGATGATTGCCAGATAGAAAAACAAATATTTAGATATTGAATTAGAGATTATTCTTTATATGTCACTCAACATCTTGGGGCCTTCTTTGTCCATACCAAAAATAAGTTTCTAAGTCAAATTCTTAAGCAGATCTGAAAATATCTCTGTGTTGAGATGTATACAGTTAGTAAAGATTCCCAGAAAGTTTGTATTGAGACTTTGGTGCATGTGCATGCACACACACACACACACACACACACACACACACGAGAGTACGAGGGTGTAGGAATAAATGGTGAGTACTTCTAGGAGATGACTATGTGACTGGGGACCTTTTTAACATCTTTTACTTTGGGCTCAGTATTTTCACCACCATGTTTCAAGTTTGTGCCTGAGTCCCTCCCAGGTTGCCCATCTGTGGGGGCAGCAGATTGTTTGTTTCAGGTGAGTTGAAGATACAAGGAATAAGTGTATGCATAAATCATCTGCAAAGGAAGCTGCTAAAAGCCTGTTTCTAGAATTTTCTACTTCTATTTTTGTATCTTTTTTGCCCCTACACAACAACTAGTAGTGATGTTTCAAATTCATCCAAAACTTGATTTTGTATGTTTTCCTGTTTATTTTTTAGTCATTTACTGAAAGCTTTTTAAGTATCTAGGTGTTTTTTTTAGTCTGCCATATTCCAGAGTTTTTACACTAGTAAGTCTGCTTACAGGCCTTTTTGCTTTGCTGTTGTTGTTGTTTTCTTTTCCACAACAAATTTATGACATTAGTGAACACTTTATCTGAGAAACTTTATTTTCCATCTGCTCTTCTTTTTTGCTCTATTATTAGGCTATGCTTCTGGTATTCTGATCCCCCTTCATTTTCAGAACTCTTGTTGACGTCAGTGGGGAACCTAGGCAGAGGAGAGCATAATGCTTAGCTTGGCTTCACAGTCCATTTTGGGAAAAGCGTCTGGCCTCCTTGAGATGGAACTTCCGTTGGATGGACCCCTGCTCATTTCCTACAGACAGTGGAGTCTATGCATAGTATTTAATGCAACCACCAGTACAGGATGCTATACTTGCTCTACCACCCAAATATATTGACTTTCTGTTAAAAGGCTTTTAACATAAATTTTAAGAGATTAACAAAATACATCATAGGCTACTGCTGAGAATGCAGGGTTTTTAACTACGTTTTTCTTACATTGATTTTAGTTCAGATATTTCAACCACTCCCTTATTTTACTGTATCTTTTAATTTGTTACTCATTTGTTTGAAACCAGAACTCTGCCAAGGCATTCTGGACCCACAGGAACTGAAATAGTTTGCCTTCATTATCTGGTAGACCTGCTCGAGTCTGTAGCCCCTGACAGAAACCACAAGACTGTACAAACTGGCAACTGTGGGTTTGTCTGTTCTCTATTGATTCTATTTCTGGAAAAAAAAAAAAAACATGAACCAATGGGTGAGCCATGTGACTGTACAACTGACCCAAAGCTACCATCAGAAGTGGGACGGAGACCTTTGTAGACAGGTCATGATGGGACCTCAACACTTTCCTGTCTGCTTCTTAAGCATGGCTTTCAGTAGCTTTGACTTGAAACTTAACTCCTTGTGTTCTGACGCATGAAACTGGAGGAGAATCTTCATATTCTATAGCTTTTTATTTAAATTTGGGAGGCCATAGGTCAAAATGTTCCAGACATCTAATAATATGTGCAATAAAGACCAGTTATTTTAACTTATAAAATATCTTAGTTTTTTCCTCCATGTGAATTGCAAAGCAACTCCTTCAGAAGATTTGAACACACACACACACACACACACACACACACACACATACACACACACGTGTACTTTTCAGACTATGAAACTGCAAATGCTGTAGTGTTTCCTTTTCTCGAGCTTCGGTATTTGTGCTCAGTACTGATAATTAGGTAAATAGAATGTAGGACTTCTTTGTAATAGGGCCAAATGTAAGAGTTCTGGTCTTGGCTCTAATATGCTATGTGTCTTTGGTCTTCTCTCTTCTTCGTTAAATGTCAAAAGACTAAAATGATCACTGATGTCTGTTCTAATTCTAAGATTCAAAGTGAATAAGAATCTTTGATAGCATGAGACAGATCTAGGTAGTAGAGAACACAGGTATGAGAGAACATATCCTATTAAACACACACGTGCATGGGTGCACGCACACACATACACTCAACAGAAAAACCAAAATAGCTTCCCTCTCTTCCTCCCCCAATAATGACAATGCAGCCATCTGTTGGACGTTCCATTTTGCTTAGCAGCTGCTCTCAGATACAGAAATCTGCATTCCTCTGGCTTGTGCTGGTATGCAGGCAGCATGTGTGGGTACTAGCATTTGACTCTCCACCCAAAGGAATGGCTTTCATTGAATAAAAATGATTGCAGAGGTTTCTTATTCCCCCATCACACAAATGCTTTTTTCCCCCTGATAATAGGCATTTGAAGCCATCTCTACTGCTCTGTGTGTTAAAATATACCCTGTTAGAGATATTCCTATCAAGTAATCATCTAAAATTGAAGAGGACAACCAGGAAAGGCTTCAGTGAAACTCTGCCTTGCCAGAAACTTCTACTTTGAAGGAAAGTGGGAGAGGTTGGAATATAAACTTCCATTCTACTTTTATTTTGTCCACACCCCCAGCATTGCACTTAAGCACTGAGCAATGAGTATTGTTCAAAACAAAACTAGGAGGCTTTTGAAGGTAGCATTAATCTTGACATCAAACTAAATGAAAATATATAAGAGAAATATTCAAAGGGGACATGGAAGTAAAGTCCTTTAAATATTCCATCTCCCTGCTGCTCCCAGCCCAAGCCTCTTCTACAGGCTGAAATTTTGTCTTCTGTGTGGTATATTATATAAAGTGGTATATCATTAAAAAAAGAAGAAATTGAGTTGGGGGTTGGGAGGAACCGCTGTTACAAACAACAACAAGAAAGTGTCCTACAGGCTCTGTAGATGAGAACCTTGGGTAAAATTGGATCTGCTTTTGAGTACATAATTTAGGACATTTGTTACAAGATTACTGTGGTTTTCTATAAATGTTAGTTTGCTGTATTATTTTCCATGAACTAGTTTTCCAAAATGCAGAATATTTTGCCCCCAAAACATGGAAGCACTAAAGCTCGATGAGGCACTGATTCATGGGGTGTCACCCAGAAACAGCTGGTCAGCCATCTGCAGCCCCAGAGTCCTCTTATTTTTACTTTATTCAGCTAATTCTTTATGTAGAGGGGGAAGAAGATGCATAAATCCTGGGAGAAGAGCATGGCTCATTTAAGAAAATGATGACTAACGCCTGCCCGAGACTGATATCTGGTGGCCTGATGTGCTGATTTGGAGGGGTCCGTTTCCTATGTGCATTAGGCTTTCAACTCTCCACTACATGTGCATTATTTTCTGTGTATCCTGTTCTTTTGGAAAAGGAAAGAAATGATGATATGCCATTGATTGTTTCATGGGAATGGTTCCAGATTAGAGCACCCTTGAGAGCCATAACCGGTCTTTTCAAAGCAGGCAGAAGAGCCTGCAGGATCAAGGACAAGCCTGGAAGTTAGACCTGTATGTTTGTCCATGGATCCCTCAAATGTTTCTAAATTAAACCTTCTAACTACCATGGATTCTGTGGTCAAAAAATGTTGGAGGTAAAGACAGTATTTGACACAAATTAAAAGATATATCATGATTCAAAGCCAAAATTATGTTAAATGCTCAGTAAATATTTAGGCAGTGCTGTTTTATTTCAAATTTGACATAGCTGTAGTAAAGTTGTGAATCATTCAATTAGAATAGCCTTTTGCTTCCCTGAATGGGAAGGGGCCTTGCTGACAGGAGGTGGATTGTTGTTATCCCTTCCTTGTGCTACCTAAGGCAGTTCATTCAGATGACAGAGCCAGATGACTGTGTGGGAAGCATACCTTCCAATCATAGCAAGGAGGCTTTTAGGTGCACAGGTGTATGCTGCTTACAGGTAAGCGTAATTATAGTTTAATCAAATCCTTATGTGTCTCTGGAGACCACATTTGGCATACCTTTTAATATTTTGCTTGAGTCATCAAAATCTTCTCCCCATTCTCCCCATATGTATTGGTATGTGTACATACACACATTTCTTTCTTATTTTATTTATTTATCTTGGCTTATGATCACAAAGGATTTTAGTTTCTTTCATGCCTTACATAGCAACAGTAGAAGATGAATCATTTTATTTTTACAGTTAAAAGGTAGGGAAGATAAACTTTCATTGCTACATTTAACCTGTGTAGCATTATTAAACTTAACATAATTTATTGATCTACTCAAATTTTTTTGGTTGTGTAATACTGAAAAGCTACCATGACAATTGACTAGAACAAAAGGAAAATGCACCTTTAATTGATAAGACAGACAATTTTTGTAAAAGAATTGGAAAACCATCTGTACTGTAAACTTTTGTGTCTCTTTTTCATTCCTGTTTACTCTGCTATTCAATCCAAATAAAGATTGTTTTCACCTCAGCAACACAAAAATCACATGGACGATCCTTCAGGCTGTCAGTCAGAAGAGAGATATACATATGCCCAAAGTATACACTTGTGCTTCTTCTCGGTGTTATTTGGGGAAAATATGTTGCATGTTCTCCTGGCTCTCCTAGTTTTACATTTTGAATTAATGCAATTTATTCTAATTTATGACAACTGTTTGAAAGGCTTGCTCTCCATTTTCCCATTTATAAAAAGGTTGTTTACTTAGAGGGGGAAAAGCAGTAGGGAAAGTAGATTGCCTTGCATATTCAGGTGGAAAAAGTTAGTGGGCTCCCCATCTTGGAGTCAGTGATGTGCACGAGGGTTGGGATTGTAAGGACATCTCTTGTAACAACTTTTTCTGCCCCTTTGGAAATAGGAATGAAATTGTGGAGAACCTTCCTTCTGTTTCTTAAAGAAAGCCATATACAATTGAGTTAATTACCTCCCCCTCTTCTCTTGTTCTCCCTTCTTGTATTTATATAGCAGCCATCACCATAGTACCCTACACACGTTGATAAGAATGCTATTTCAGAAAAAAATAAAAATAAAAAAGGAAGAAGAAGGAAAAAAGGCACACTGTAGAAAAGAAAGATTATTTCTTGTCGTAGTACAAGAATCCTCTTAAGGCTCAAAACCAATAAAATAGATTGGTCCCGCTGTACCTAGAACAGTCTCAGTCATAGTGGGTATTTAAGGAATATTTTTCAGTTGGTGTTACTAGAATCCATTCCTCTGTCCTTGTTTAAAAACAAAGTCTCGTCCCAGTGTGCTCTTTTCCTGCCTTCATGCTTCCTAGAAGGGCTCTGTTGTGAAAGGACCTCTTGCTAGAGAAGAAACTGAGCAGAAAGAGAATGACAGGGAGCACGTGTAGATTTCAGGGGCAGTCTAGGATCCAGATCTCCCTTAGGGCTTTCATGAAATTTTGTTTCCTGTTGACATACGGTACTTATCTTGTTAACTGTGTACATGTACAAAGTGTTATGTGGATATGTATAACCATAGCCACTAACATCCTTTAAAGAAATAACAAGTCATAGAAGTAAAGACATTATTATACTTCTAATTCCCTTAAGTGTATTAACTCATTTAATTCTCATAATATATCTAGGAGGTATATCTATGGTTTTCAGCACCATTTTAAAAATTAAGAGGCTTGATGATGGACAGGTTAAATAATTGGCCCAGAATCATGGTAAGTAATGATCAGAAAAAAGGGATTTGAACCAAGGTAGTCTCATTCCAACTTCCATGTTCTTACCTACCATGCCTTGCTGACTCTTTCTCAAACTACTAATCGGTTCATACTGTATCAGTAATCAGGGCTTGGAATAAACCTTTAGGATAATATTATTTTAAGGCCCAGATCTTACCATACAATAATGATCTGCTGAACCTCAAATCTAATCTAGCCTTAGAGTAGGCAACTGAATACAAGACTTTCCAGAAAGGACTGCTCTAACTTATTCTTTGTTTACATGAAATGATCTAATTCTTTGTTTACAATTTTGAATGCAATGCATACTTAACCTATAAAACCCATGACCTTTCACTAAAAGCATGCATCCATGCGTTCATATAAAGTTACTGATGATTCAGTGAAAAATCATTTTGCTTTTGTATATGTATTAGTCTACTGGTTGGGGGGAATTCAAACACATAAATAGTTAAAATATTGCTTCAGTATGACAGGTAACATTTACAAAATTATGGCAACAAGGAATAAGGATTTTGGGGTGTAGATGATGGGGTTAATACAGACTGTGAATGGGATAAGGATATCTACATGGAGAACTAGGTTCTTGAATTAAAGTCTTGAAGGGTTGATGAAAAGTATGTAGCCAGAGAGTCAGGTGAAGACGATTTAGGAAGAGGAAGCAGTTTGTTCCAAGATTTGGAGGTATGACAGAGGATGATGTCCATGAAATACGATGTAGCTGGAGTGAGATGTCAAAGTGATGAGAGGTGGGACTAAAAGAATGAGTAGGGATCAGGCCATGAAGGACCACTGGGTCCCCTATTCTGTAGGTAAAAGCAAATCATGAGAGATGAGTAACAATTGGGGGCTCATCTGACTTTTGTTTTCAAAAATGAGCTTAGAATTCAATGGCCTGGATGAGGGTAAAACCAAAGGGGAAAAAAAGCAGTGAAGGGATCTTAAGGCATAGTGATAGACACTACACTATAATTTTAATACTCAGAACAATCCCATGTACAAGACACTATTTCCATTAAGGAGATTAAACAAAACCAAACAAAATTGAGAACTGTTGAGTAACTTGCCCACGATGTAAGGCAAGTAAATGACAGCTGTTTTACTTTCACATTAGACTCCAATCCTGCCCACTTCCTTCTATATCATGCTGTCTCCTATTTCAGTGTCTTAACAAAAAGTCAGCACTCCTAGTCTCCACTTAGAATTACTCAAAACTTCCCTCTACTGTCCAGATTCTCTTCCCAACCCTCTGACCATGCCTGTACCATCTCTTCTGCTGTATACCTTCAGCCTTCCTCTCAACTATTCCTGTTTCTCAAAGTTCTCTCCTGAGTCCTCTAAGCTCTCCTTTTTTTTTTTTTATCATACCCATCTCTCCTTGACAAGATCTCTCTTTCTGCAGTAATCCTATCCATTTCGTGCATCCCATGCAAGAACCCTGCCCCCTTAACTCCTCTAACTCTCAACACGGAAAGTGTCCCCATGTCCCGTTGTTACTATTTTATAGGATAAACAAGTCTCCTATGGCAAGTCTGGTAAAATGATCATTGTGTCTTGCCTATACTGTTGAAAGAGCAATTTGACTAGTTTTTACATCGGGCAATCAGATTAACATTTCTGGGCAGAAGTCCGACTTGTCTACTTCCTTGCTTGAATCTTGTCATTGGCTCCCTATTAAAAATAAAACAAATTGTAATTTTCCAAGAGTGCTCAATGAGTACACCTAAATTGGGCCACCAGTTTTTACATCACCTTATTTCCCATTGCTTGGCACACTGCTGGCTGCTAGGAAGTACTCAATACACATCTGTTGGGCAAATGAATGAGTGAATTTAACTCACGTAAACTGATAAATTTTTAAAAACTAGAGGTATGTATAGTCTAAAATAACAACTTCATTTTTTATTTCAGTTTAGCTATCCCAAGGTAGCTGGTCATACTAAAAATATTTATAAATAGGCAAAGCATTGGCACTGAACAGTCAGAATGGGCATGGGCTATGAATCACTATACATGTACACTGAAAGGCCCCTGAGTTGAATGTGCTTTCATTTACACCAGGCAGAACTGCTTCTGCACAGAGTTCTCTGACTTGGAAGACCTTTCTAGTGGCTTATTCTGGTTCCAGTAAGTTTCCTCTCTGAAGCAGCTGAATGACCCAGAGTATAGAAGTAGTATTCACAGATGGGGTCCGGGACTTCAAGAAGAGAACAGTCCCTGTGGTCCTGGTAGGCGTGACTCAGAGAAGAGTACCATCCACCACATTTGCCCTGCTCTCCTCTCAAAAGCCCTATCGGTAGACTTTTGAGAGCATGTGCATGCAGAATGCCCCTCCTCTTGAGCCATTAGCTTTCCAAGAATTTTTCAGTCCCATGACCACTGTCTACTTCTCTCACTCTTTCACCTTTTGCTGTTAGCGATGAGTGTCTTTACTCTTCCAATATCTTTTACTCTTCTTCCTCCGTCTTTCTTTTCTGCCATGAGCCACACCCACTTTCTTAGTTGAATAAAATCAGAACCTGTCATATATTTAGCATACTCATTAAATACATTTTGCTAACCAAGAATCAAATTAATATTGCTTTTTATGATTTTTTTTTCAAAACAAAGTTAAGCCAATGCAAAAAATGTTGTTTCTTACTTGGATAAAACCTTGAATAGATCTATTTTTTGTTCTAATGGGGCAATGATTTATTACAACTCAGAAACATTCTACTGTGATCAGAGTGCTTAAGCAAACAACAGCAAAAGCAAATGAGAAACTGGGTATTAAGAAGAAGGAGGAAAAGAAGGGAAGAGAAGGCAAATGAGAAAGAGGAGACGATTTCACAGACCGAACGTTTAAAAGGAAGAAAAAAAAAAAAAGACCTATAAACATAAATAAGAAGGCTGTGATGACTACAACCTTTTTCTGATTCACAGTCTTTCCCTTCTAGACACTGGTGAAATGCCTATCTAGCCAAAGGAAGACTAGCCAGAAGAGGGGAAATCACATCTGGTTTCTCATGAAACACCTGTTTGAGGATCCTCTATGTACTAAATCTTGTTCTAGGAAGTTGAAAATCTTATTAGAATAATGTATATCAGTGATCATCTGTGTTTCTTGTCAGGTTTAAAGCAATTTCTTTTGAGGAGAATATTATTTTACTTTGTCAGCCACCCTTGTAAGTTGCTTTGTGTGCCACCAAAATGAAAAGCAAAAAGTAGGCAAAAGATAAAATAATAAAATCATGCACATAAATCTCATAAAGATTTGTCTTCGATTTACTGTGGAGAGAAGGTTCAGCCCTCTTATTGTATGTGCATCTGTTTCCTTATCCCCAAAAGGCATTAGTGGAACAAACCCCTACTGTACCTGGTGGAAGTAATGCACAGCAGCAACTTCCCTTGTGCGGCTGGATATTAATGCTAATGTACAGGAGTTAAATATAGCACAAAGCTAATGTGTTGGAAAGAAAAAACAAAGCAAATAACATCACACTGCAAGGGGTGGGATGGGGGAGGCGAGGAGATGATTATACCTTTAAGCCCCAGGATAAACTGCAAAAGTGGTAAACTGATAGGAGAATACAACCAGTATACAGAACCAAGTCATGCTGACCTAATATCCTCAGTGGCAAAGAAAACCCAAGAATGTTGCCTAGATAAGTGTGGTTGAGAGAGTATGGAAAAGTGACAGAAAACTTTGGCGATGTTTATTAATGAGTGAATTCAATAAGAAAAATGGGGCTAAGTTTTCTAGTTTCCCCTGACTTCTAACGGGAGACTGTAGTAGATCAAATACCATTAGAGTTAGTAGAAACGTGCAAATCCCACGTGGTTTCCATTGCCTAACTGTTAGAAACCACCTTGAAAAACTCCAGAAGAAATGCTTCATGGCTAATGGCTTCAATGAAGGAGTTTTGTTCTGAGAAAGTGATGCAAGGTCATGAGAATTTTGACTACAGCTATGGAAATTTTGCTTTCAACTTGTGCTGTATCTTTCTCATGACAATGTGATGTATTGGTGAAAGTACTAGATGAGGATTTGGGGCAACTGTATTTAAGAAGTGAGTCTTTCACTATATCAAATATATGTAATATTGAAAAAGTTGAATTCTCAGCATGTTATGATTATGTTTATTTTTTCATCTCTAAACAGATGATTAAATCAGATGACCATGACTGTTCTATCTGGTTCTGACATGCTACATTCTCAGTGGGCTATGCCCAGCTGTGCTGTGAGGCCTGAGGTAAAGGAGCCTCACCTTCCTTAGGGCATTAGACACTTCCTTTGGGGGAGATCCTTCTTTTTATACCAGAACAACTGACTTCATAACTGAGGGTTCTGAATGGCTCCTGTCTCTTTAGTTAAGGGATATGTCCCCAGGGCTTAGGATAGTCATTGGCACTAGGTACTCAGAAAATCTTTGGTGAGTGAGTGAAGTACCTATCACCAAGGAAACTGATACTTAAATTGGACTTAAAGAAAACTCCTTTCAGGGCATAGGATACTGATTGTGACTGGGGTTAAAGCAAGGACTCTGTTCAAATCTCCACTTTATCACTTACTATTTGGCTGACCACAGGCAAATTACTTAATCTCTCTAAGCTAATCCTCTTACAGTGAAAGCAGGGTTAGAATTGTATTTCCCTAATATGGATATTGTGAGATTTAAGCCAGTATTGCATTATTAGCACAGTGACTAGTAAATAGTGAGTAATCAATAAACATTAACTATACTTAGGTCAGGTCTAAGTTCTGAGCACACAAATGGTGGGGAGACTTCATTCAAAATCATAGCAGATACAGGGGTATTTTGTTAAGAGTTAGCTAAGTAGTTATTCAACAAAAATGAAACAGAGATTTTAAAAACTAAATTCTCTATGAAGCTGGATGGTGTTGTGTGGTAAAGGAATCTAGGGAGGTGTATTTTCAAAGGGAGATTAAGAGTAAAGAAGAAATAAGCTGGTTGCCAGATATTATCTAGAGAAAAGTAAATTCGGCAGACAGAATACACAGGATCCAGATAAGATACTATGATTTGACCTGGGCTTTGGCTGGACATATTAAGACAACATCATCTAAGGGAAGACAGCTTGTTCACTAGAGCCAGGGTGCATGAGTGTCTGGGTAAGGTGAAGGCAAAGTGCCCAGAGGAAATTGTCGAAGCTCATGTTGGATCCCAGCAAAGTTCAGGAGCATGCACAGCATTTTCTAGAGCAGTTTCTGCCACAGCTGCATTTGGGTTTGCAGATAACACTCCCCACCCCCACTCCATGTAGGGCAGGATGAGAACAGATAGTAACTAGGGTGTAAGAAGCAGGGCATTAGCAAAAGCTGGGACAGGACCATAAAAAAAGTGAGGTTGGAATGCAGGGATGGACCCAAGCCCTACAATAAAATTAGGTGAGAGCCTCAGCCTTGCTCCAAAGCAGTTGCTGAGGCTTCCTGTTTGAGTTAAAATAGCGGGAAAGGGAATGGAGAATTAGGGAGGGAGCTCTTTAGGGACTTCAAGGCCACACCAGTTTTACTCTGCTCATGGGTTAAATATCTGGTAGGCATCAGAAATTAATTCCAAGTTGAACCATGTGAAATTGACAGTACCCATATGTATTCTGATTTAATATCATTGGCTCAGAAAAGTTAAGCGGGCTATGGAGACAAATGATAAAGAAACTTGGCAGGGGCTGACACCAGTGCCGTAAGAGAAGAAATAAAAGCAAAGAGAAGAATCAGGAGAAGAAACTAAAGCTAAACAACACTGACCACAAAAAAAAAAAAAAATAAATAAATAAAATAAAATAATAAAAAAAAAACTACATGAAAAAAAAATGAGTAAAAGACATTTCTCAGATCCAAGAAGGCTTATCTGAGGCAAAACTGGCTGATGCAGTGACTGTGAAGAATTTCCATATTTTCAAAGGAGTTGGACTTGCGGCCTGCAGAGAAAAATAAATAAGCCACACTTCCTTTCTCCATCGAATTCTCTTGGTGATCTAACAGACTAGAAAGAGTGCTTATGTTAAAACAGGATGGAAGGGGGCTACTGTTATCTCCAGAGTCCCTGCCTGGGTCAGTGCTCTAAGAGAGATCTGAAAAAGCAAGTTGCTACTGTTATCTCCAGAGTCCCTGGGTCAGTGCTCTAAGAGAGACCTGAAAAAGCAAGTTGCTATCAAGAATTACCTGAGGCAAACTGCTTGAGGCTAAAAAGCAACAGCAAGCATTAAGATAAGAGAAGATACAGTTTAAGGTCAATGTAAATAGCCCATAGGCATATCACAAGCTAAAGATCTGCCTAGCAATTACCATAGGATAGATTCTGAACTTCAAGTAGCACAATCTGGGAAGGTCCCCACCAAGAAATATAAAGAAGGGAAAGACCTTGTAGTCTGGGGTTCAGGCCTTGTTGTAGAAACCTCACAGAATGTCATGGGAAGGTAAACAGACTGTGAAAATCCAGATAGATTCTTCCCTAGGGTTGCTCTGTTTCACACCAAGTTAAGGCATTTCACTAAGCGTTAATTCTTTGATCTGATCTTTACTCTTCCCCATTTTGGAACTACAGACATCTATATTGTGAGTTAGAATTTGATACAGGACAATGTATTCTTCACTTCCTATGCTTCTTGCCTTTCCGGGTGACCTCAGGCACTCTTAGGTGCCCACAGCTGGTTTGATTCATGAGGTATGAGTGACACATAAGCCATTCCATGTTTCTATTACAGTTCAGCTATTATCCTTGTGTGCTACTCACTGGGAATTATCCCTCAGGAACCAAGTGTTTCCAACATTTTGCATGATAGGCTTTGGGGGCTGCCATCCAAGAACAGAGGAGTCATAAAGCCTGCATTTGAGTGATTGGTGGAAAA